CCACACGCTTTAAGATGGCTGAACTTCAACTCCCAGAATTCCCCAGCCAGCATGCTTTAAGATGGCTGGACCTCAACTCCCAGAATTCCTCAGCCAGCATGCTTTAAGATGGCTGGACTTCAACTCCCAGAATTCCTCAGCCAGCATGCTTTAAGATGCCTGGACTTCAACTCCCAGAATTCCTCAGCCAGCATGCTTTAAGATGCCTGGACTTCAACTCCCAGAATTCTGCAGCCAGCCTGCTTTGCGATGCCTGGACTTCAACTCCCAGAGTTCCTCAGCTAGCCACACTGGCTAAGGGAATTCTGGGAGTTGAAGTCCACGCCTTTTGCGATCGATGTGAACGCTCTTTCCTGCCTCTGAGCTCCTTCTCCTAACGGGCCCGGGTGAGTGGGTCCCTGGCTTTGCCCCCAACAGCTGACCTCACCTGGTTTCCAAGGTTTTCCTTGCCAGGTGGTGATGGTGACCCCTTCCGGAATCCTCTGATCGATGCCCTCCCAATAGACGCCACCTTCGCTGGTCTCGGCCACGTTGGTGAAGATGGTGTTACGCTGGATGGTATGCATGGCGTTGGGGTTGGTCCGAGTGGACGTGCCCGGGGCCACCCCGAAGAAGCCGTTCTCGGGGTTGATGGCACGCAGACACCCTACAGATGGTAAAAAACCCCAAACAGGTGGTTATTCCTCACCGCGACGGTCTCCGGATCTCCTCCTTCACAACATCGTAAACTCGGACACCAAATTTGTGCCCTGAGCATTCCTGGAGTGCTGGAGACTCTATTTATATTGTTCCCAGATTGGGCACTGAGCTTTGGCTGAAATTGGTTCTGTTTCCTGTATTGCTGCTTCGCTTAGTGACGGATGTCCCACTGCGGTCGTAAGCCAAGGACTACCCTGCTTTCCCCCCTAAAGCACACCACCCTGCCGCTCTCTCAGCCAGCCCCAGCCCCCGACTCACCTTCGCTGTCGAACTTCATCCAGGCGATATCGTCCCCGACGCATTCCACGCGCCAGCCCGGCAAGGTAGGATTCATCATGGCTAAGTTGGTCTTCCCGCACGCGCTCGGGAAAGCGGCCGCCACGTATTTCTTCTTGCCCTCCGGGTTGGTGAGTCCCAGAATCTGCAAGAAACCGTAGAGAAGAGCGTGCCACAATTTGGCAGACGCCAAAACTCTTCTTTGCAATAAACTAGGTTTGCCCTCCCTCGGCCGCCAGGCGTCGATTACAAAAATCCAGGTAACCATCATAGTTTAGAGGCTTCTGCATCTCTCTGTTACCACTGTGGATTCTCCCCGTTTCCTAATCCAGGGATCAGCAACCTGCGGCTCCGGAGCCGCATGTGGCTCTTTCATCCCCACTGCTGCGGCTCCCTATCCCCAGTCGGCACCATAATTTTGAGAGGAGCTTCCAGTTAGAGGGCGGGGAAAACAGGGCGTGCTAGGAGGAGACTCTATGGCAAGGGGCGGGCTTTCCGATCAGCTCCACAATTGATAGGGCTTTCGGTTAGGAAGAGGAGGAGGAGGGGTTAACACATAGTCCAAAAATGCGTTAATAACTCCGTGTTTTTCAAACTTGGCAAGTTTAAGATGGGTGGACTACATCTCCCACAATTCCACAGCCGGCATGAAATCCACCCATCGAAAAAACCCTGCTGGCTGCCTTTACAGATAGCCCTCGACTTACGGCAGTTCACTTAGTGACTGTTCAAAGTTACAACGGCACAAAAAAAAGTGACTTACGACAGCTTTCCACTCTTAAGACGTCGCCGCATCCTTGCGGTCGCGGGATTGACATCCGTATGCTTGACAAAACGACTCACATTTATGACGGCCACAGGGACCCCCCGGGGGTTACGCGATCCCCTTTTGCGACCTTCCGACCGGCAAAGTCAACGGGGACGTCAGATTCACTTAACAACCGTGTGACTCATTTAAGAACAGCAGCGATTCACTTAAGAACCGGGGCAAGAAAAGGGGGCCGAGCTCACTGAACAAAGGCCTCACTTAGCAACATACATTTGGGGCTCAAGTGTGGTCGTAAGTCGAGGACTCCCTGTGTCATTTAAGTGGGTGGAGTTAAGTGGGTTTTCTGAAGTGTGGCCATTTAAATCAGTGTTTCTCAACCTTGGCAACTTGAAGATGTCCGGACTTCAACTCCCAGAATTCCCCAGCCAGCGAATGCTGGCTGGGGAATTCTG